TTTTCACCAAACTAGGACGTATCGTGGGAAAAGTGGTTAAGATCGACCAACAAACCGCGGCCCGAACAAGGGGCAAATTTGCTCGCCTTGCTGTCCTGGTGGACATCACGAAACCGCTTTGTGCAAGCTTCTTCATTAACGGGAAGACTCAGCGTGTAGTTTACGAGAACTTGCCCAACATTTGCTTCCAGTGTGGACGAGTGGGACACTCTAGTGTCGCATGCCCACACCAAGTTCCTCCCAGTCAAAACAATGTGAATAAGACTACTGAACATGGTCCTCGGGAACAAACCTTTGCAGCTGGTGATGGCGACGCTGAGAAGATGAAGGATAGTCCAGGCGGGCAAGTTGAGCCGATATATGGACCGTGGATCCAAGTCCCTCAACGTGCTCGGCAATCGTACTCACGGCGCGAAAAAGGGGCCGATACGGCGAGCACGAAGATTCCACAGGTCATATTAATAATCTTTTACATATATAATATATCAAATTAATAATTTTTTCATGATCTTCAATTTGACATTCATATTGTATATATAAAATAAATAAATTATATTTATCTTTATAATAATAAAAAATAATAATATTTATTAAAATTTAAGAAAAAAAAAATTATTTTTCAGTTGATATATTTATGTTTAATGTAGTTATATGTTGTAAGTTAAAAAAATTATTATACTATAACACAAGTAAGTCAAACAAATAAAAAGTGTCATACTAAATATATAATAATATATATATTTTTATAAAAGATATTTAAATTTTCAACTACTTTTTCTCATTAGTTTTAGATTTTAAAGAAAAAATAACAAACGCCCGTGTAATACACAAGTGTTGTACTAGTACAATTGGTATCTCAAAATATATGAACAGATAAATAATTAATTTAGTGAAAAAATAGATAAAAATAATTGATTGAGATTATTTAATTTACGTTGTAAAATGATGAGAACAATAATGTAGAAATATATGATAATAAGTTGAAAAGATAGATGGCGACGCTCGGCGACAAGGGTCACGGCAATCTAAACCCGCTTACTGCTACGTTCGATCCGGGGTTTGATCCTCCACCCCCACCGTCTGGTTTCGATGCGGAATTTCCCACCCTAGCAGTGACTACCCTCCCAGCCCCTAAACGTTCTAGGGTTAGCAAACGACAAAGGGAGTCTTTGGAAAACCCTACAGTGACGACTCACAAACCGACTTCCCCGCCGTCGGCAGGCCAGGACGCCCCGCCACCGCGTTGGTCATTCCGGGACATGGTCAACCGGTACCGGGATCACGTGGACATGCCTCCTGATGACAGCGAGATGGATGAGGGTGATGAGGAAGAGATCGTGGTGGATTTTTCTCGTCCGACGCCGGAACTCAGAATTGCTGATAGCTTTTTTGATCAAATTTCCAAGGAGTGACAAAACGTGGTCGTGATCAAGCCGTTTGATGAGTCCATCACAATGGCGTCCCTCTATAACCGCTTAACAAAGATGTGGCCGGCCATGTCGGGATGTAACATGATGGACCTCGAAAATGGATTCCTTCTCATTCATTTTCGGACTCAAGAGGATGCGAAAGGGGCTCTTACGGGGGGACCGTATGTCGTAGGAAGCGGCTATTTACACGTGCAGCCATGGACTCTCGAGTTTGATGCTACCAAGGCTGAAGTTACCAACACGATTGCGTGGATCAGACTACCCGGTATGCCGGCCCACCTTTACCATAAAAAGGTTTTCACCAAACTAGGACGTATCGTGGGAAAAGTGGTTAAGATCGACCAACAAACCACGGCCCGAACAAGGGGCAAATTTGCTCGCCTTGCTGTCCTGGTGGAAATCACGAAACCGCTTTGTGCAAGCTTCTTCATTAACGGGAAGACTCAGCGTGTAGTTTACGAGAACTTGCCCAACATTTGCTTCCAGTGTGGACGAGTGGGACACTTTAGTGTCGCATGCCCACACCAAGTTCCTCCCAGTCAAAACAATGTGAATAAGACTACTGAACATGGTCCTCGGGAACAAACCTTTGCAGCTGGTGATGATGACGCTGAAAAGATGAAGGATAGTCCAGGCGGGCAAGTTGAGCCGATATATGGACCGTGGATCCAAGTCCCTCAACGTGCTCGGCAATCGTACTCACGGCGCGAAAAAAGGGGTCGATACG